CGCAACCCTTCCCCTCTATCCCTCGCTTCCCCCGAGGACATGCCCTCACTTTATCATAGCTCGGCGCGGCCACTAGACCAACACAAAGCTATAAACAAAATAGACTACAAAAGAATAAGCTAAACAGAAACCTACAGGTACACAAGGTGTTAATAAGGGTTCTGACTAAGCAGAGGCAAACTACGTATCAGCTATAAACTAAAGTTATAGACAGGGGCAGATATAAGCCGACAATGGATAATGCAAAAGCGGATAAAATATCCGACCCCACCCATATTTAATACGGATAGAAAATGGGTTAACCGGTGGATAATATGGATACCATATTATTCATGGCTTCTTGATGTGATCACTTTTGGGAGAATTTCTAGTCTCCCATATTTGAGGAACCCCTAATTTGAGTCCCTGCAAATGTAAAAGTTAAATCCATTGGTCATCCATTAAGTATTCATTTTTTAAGTGGATAATATGAATCTTATCCATATCTTACCCATTTTTAAAAAGTCTATTATGCAACCCATTTTTAGTGGATAATACGGATGATAATTGTTTTTTTAAATCCATTTTGCCACCTCTAACAATTATGGTATGGTTGTGTCTATCTGATATCTTCCTTTTCAGGGTGGAAAGATACGATCCAAACTTGTGGAAGAGCTCCGTGGTGTAGATGGAGTACTCATTGAGGAGGGGACTGCAGGAGAAGGAGGAAAAGCAGCAGCACAGAGTGGCATGCGCAAGTAAGATTTGGCTCTCTGATTTTGATCTTTAAATTCTGAAATTTAAGGTTGTTTATCAGTTCAAACTATAACTTGAGTGCTTCTATATTTATTTCCTCGCATAAACAGGAGTGTATTTTGCTTAAGTCCAGCTGGTGACACCCCATCATCAGCCAGGTTGTTTGATGCAATTGTCAGTGGTTGCATTCCTGTCATAGTCAGTGATGAACTAGAGCTTCCTTTTGAGGGGATTCTTGATTATCGAAAGGTACTAGTGACTTTGCAATTCTTATTCTGATCTCTAGGAGAAGTGTTAAAAAGGTGGCTATGTTAATGCTCTCATTCCGGAACAGATCTCTTTGGCCTAGGCTTTTGTGAAACCCCTAATGCAAAGTTAAGATGATTAATAGGAAGCCCATAATAGGTAGTTTTTGGTTGTCTAAGAGGAAGTTACATCATTTAATTTATAACAGTTTTCAAGGGAACATCAAGCTTCAGCAGAAAATTGGTGTGTGGTCGGTACTTGCCCTCCCATCACTTATCATAACTACCTATTCCTTAAGTGCCACACGACAATTGCAGCGAAACTGGAATTCAAGTTCCTTTCTTCTCTTTAAAAGGATATTGAACGTGGAGGGAAGGGATGAGAAAGTGAAATTGCACACTATTACTATGTATAAGGCTCTTACTCTTTTTTTCTTTGGCAGATTGCTCTGTTTGTCTCTTCTAGTAATGCTTTGCAGCCAGGATGGCTTTTATCATTTCTCAAAGGTGTTAGTGCAGCTCAAATTAAACGGATGCAAATGAACTTAGCTAAGGTTCGTAGATCTTTGAGGTTGAGATTATCCTCTTCAAGTAGCACTGTCTGCATTTCATAGAATGGTTAGGGAGATATTTGCATAACTTTGTATTCTTTTCCTATTAGTGATGTTTTGGTCAAATTCTTGTTTCAGGAGTTATACTAATTCCTCGGTTGATCTAATTTTTGAATGTTTTCGTTGTGGATGCAGTATGCAAGGCATTTTCTTTATTCTCATCCAGCTCAACCCTTAGGTCCTGAGGACTTGGTTTGGAGAATGGTTCGACATTTTTTTCTCTTTAATTGGTTGTCATTTTCTCTTCACTATGTGAAGTGCTGATTTTCTTCCTTTGCGATAGCTGGATTTGTTGGGTTTAATTAACTAAATTGTTTCGAAGTATTGGTTTCCACTCCTATCATTCCTTCAATCATGTCATAACTGATGACATTCTTAATTTCTCTTTATGACTTTGGCAAAGGGGGAATATCTGGAAGGACAAGAGAATGTTGTCTTACCAACTCTTTTGCTTCTTTCCCTTTGGATGGGCTGAGTCATCTACCCAAGGAGATTTTGTCAACAAAATCCCTGTACCTCTAGGGCTATTGCTCTTTATAACGATGATGACAAAGGGTGGCTAAATTCCTGGATTTAGAGAGTGGAGATTAACATCATGAAGCTAAATACTTGCTTTGTATTGCAAGTGGCAATCTAGTAGAACCATATATGACCAGTACATCCGCAGTTCTAGCCTTAAATCATGTCGGACAAATGAAAACTAACCAACCTTCCC